GAATTCAGCATATGTAGGAGTACATTCAGCCTTTATAGCACAAGGCTAGGAAACGCAATACCTGGTTTGTACGCTACGGTTGCCCTCTCGCAGTGGTTACATCCTGGTTATAGGATATAACCCCTCTTGCATCTGGTTATATCCTTAAACTTACTTTTTTTTTTTTAGTCCATGCATTTTTTTTTCCCTACAGAAATACAGTGAAACTGTTAAATGCTGTAACAATGCATACCTTGAGTGGTAAAAGCGCAACTAGTACAGACTCCTACTTTTAAGGGCTATGATTTAACTTTTTGTTGGTTTCTCTTTTTCTTTCTCCTCCAAGCTATCCCATTTGGCAAAATCCCCATTCTGGAAGTAGACGGAGTTACCATTCACCAGAGCTTGGCAATAGCAAGATACCTTGCCAGAGAATCAGGTAACACATATTTGATCATTTTCTTGCTCTGTCCTGAACCCACCTTTAACGCTCAGGAAAAATCCACAGCAAAAATAGAAACAAACCAACAACTTGGCAAGCCCAACCGAGCAGAAGTCAACACCAGCATGGCAATACTGGTACTAGTGCTTTTCCCAGGCACAAACAGCTTAGAGTTAGCCTCTCATTGCGTCCGGTTTGGCTGCCAGCACCAAGTGCTGACCACAGAAACACAGCGTACCACATACGGTGCTATTAGAGGTGCCACTCAAAGAGCCATGGTGTAAAAAGCACCGAGGAGTGCTGTGTGCTGGCATGCTCGTGTTCAGCAGCCTTCTTTACCATAATTTGCTGCCAATTTTGCTCGCCAAGTTGCAGCTGCTGTGGCAATCCTGATGAGATCTCAGGCTACATCCCCTGTGGTTTCAAGATCAGAAAGAAGAAACAGAGCAAGGCACATCTGCTAAGACACTGTATGACTGGGTTTAGAGTCACGCAAATGTCACATAGAAAGTAAAAAAAAAAAAAGACAAAAAAGTCAAAGTAACAACCTGTAGTGTGAAATGCTACTGTGCTCAGAGCTGAAGTCACGTGGCTGAGCTCCTTATTTGCACTGTAAGTGTGTACACCTAATGGAAAACTCAGAAATAATCCCCCCTTACGTCTGATTGAGTTTCCCCTCTGCATATGGCACCTGAGGTTTGGGCCGACTTCTCCAGCCAATAAACTTTATATTCACGACAGAAGTGTGTACCTGTGGCCTCCCTAAGGCTCTCAGGGCAGTTTCGACTGGAACTAAACTTTGAGCTGCCAGGCTAACCAGCAAGATGACCAGGAGGAGAAGGTTTGGAAGCACTAGAGATTATCACAGTCAGCAGGCAGAGCGCTCTGAAGCAGATTTAGGCAACAATTCTGAGCTGGCAGAGAGATTAGATCAGATGATGACATCACTGAAATACTTACATGCTATGCAAGTACTCGACTGGTCAGATAAAGTGACATTAATAATGCAAGTAATTCAAGAGAGTAGTCAGGGCTTGCTTTAGGTCCGCAAGCTGTCATTCAAAACCAGCTGCAAACCCAATCTGGCTGAAGGCAGACATGTTCATGATGTGCTGAACATCAGCACAGTGAAGAGTGGGGGCTGGGAATGGAGTACTATCCTACTGTTTTTGGAGGGGGTGGGGGGTGTGTTTTTGTTTTTTTGTTGTTGTTGTTGTTTTTGTTTGGTTGGTTGGGTTTTTACACTCTGAGCAAAGAGATGTAACTTGCCTTTCAAAATATCTCACATTTCCAACTGAGGAAACAAGCAGAAGTGCAGAGTGTTATTCTTCAGGGGACTAGCATGATGTATTTTCAAGCATGTCTGCAATAAATGTTCCTGACAGTTTCCTCCATCCTTGATACAATCTACTATTTACAAGAGAAGAGAATGGCGAGCGTCTACCTAGTAATGAAAAACGCTGAGAAAGCCTGCCTTCCACCCACGCTGCCTCCCTCACTGCCTCCTATTGGGAGGCTGATCTGGAGCTGTGCTCCTTTTATGGTCTGAAGTTCTGACTTAGGCATTCCCCTGAAACTTTTTCCATTGGTTTGTAACAGCCACAAAGGCTAGTGGAGCACACTCAGACCGTGCTGTTCTCCTTTCAGTGTAGGTCATACCACCAGCAGGAAAAAGAGCATGCACAGAAGGGTAAAAAAAAAAAAAATCTTTTCAACTTAATAGTCAAAGCTTTTTAGTTCTGCCATTACATCTGCATACATGTCACTAATCCTTTAAAACTAAGAAATGGCATTTTTAGGCGCCCATCACCAACAACTGTTTACTGAAGTCTCACAGAACTTGATGCCCAAAGAGGGCACAGCCCTCGCCTTCAAAAGCATAACGTTTCAAATTTCAGTAAGGGAGATGACTTAGCAGAGAAAGGGCATACAGGTTATGGGAAACACGGGGCTTCCAGGTGAAGCTTAAGAACAAAGAGAGGAAGAGAATGATGATCTGAACCTGCACAGAGGTGAAAGCATAAACACAGGTCTATGAAACAAGAGTGAGGGGAAAAAAGTAGTAGCATTAAGAAGACTGCAGGCAAGCCAACAGGGGAGGAAAGCAGATTTGTAAACGAGACGAAAGTTTGGCTAAGGTGCTTGATTACAATGAAGTAATCAAAAGGAAGCAGGATGTCACAAGAAGGTTCTAAATGGGGCTGAATGGGCAGGATAGAGGGAAAAAAGAAGCAGACTTTCACAGAAACACTTTCGGAAATTGCGTTGATGAAGATGGAAAGACTATGAGATGGAGAAGGACACTGAAAGCTGGGAAGGGAAAGATTAACAGAAAGCAATTGGTGTTGAGCCTCACAGAAAGTGCTGGTATGGTGGAAGGCAGAGAGAAGGGTAAAGAAGTGGAAGGCAGAGAGAAGGGTAAAGAAGTGGTAGGCAGGCTGCGGGCTCAGGTAATGGAAAGAAAACTCACTACCTCAGATGGCTATGTGAGGCTAGAGGGGGAAAAAAGCAAAGGTAGATGACATTGCACCTGGATGCAAGGACTCAAATGCATATTGCTACCATCAAAACAAGCCATGAAGAGCATGTATTTTTATGGAAGTGTTCACAAACAACTGTTTACCTTTGTGGTATCAAAAATCCCTGCTGATGCTGTCTCTAACCTCCCTTCACATGCTTGCTTCCCATAGGTCTTGCAGGTCAGACACCTGTGGAACAGGCACTAGCTGATGCCATCGTGGACACCATAGATGATTTCATGACTCTGTTCCCCTGGGCAGAGAAAAACCAGGACGTGAGAGTAAGACAATCATTAATTTAAACAAAGATTGCACATAAGCCATGACTCTGTACCTGACCATCTCTTCTGCAGAAACTGCCATGTGTCAGCCCCAGGGTCCATCACCTCACCTCAGCAAAGCTGAACTGGAGGAGCTCTACAGTTCTTCCTTAAGGCTATTCCAGCCAAGGCTTTCCGCTCCCTCCCACCAACTTCCTTCACCAGATTTTTTTCAGACTTAGTGGAAACAATGAGGCCATCATGAGCCATCCCTTACTAGTTCACCTTGAATCAAGGATACCTTATGTCCATACAGCAAACTGCTCTTCAAATGGGAAAGACAGGACATTTCCACCCCAGCCACCACCATGCAATCTTGTTGCAAACAGACTAAGCTCAAATCGTTTTCTTTCTGGTAACTCAACAAGATTAACAGCCCCATCACAACTTATTTTTGCACTTCTGCATCTTGATTTCTTCTTGGTTTTTAATGACTATCAGTCTTCAATAACATCAGCTGCCAGTAACAAATGCTTTTCAACTACCAGAGCGGTGTAAGACAGCAGGTGCTGCTAAAGAGGAGAAGTAGCACATCCCTCACTGTCACTGCAGCTGTCCTCTTCAGACCCGCCCCTGCAGCCCCACCTTGTTCCTCCACAGGGCTTCTGCAAATACTGACACCAGGCTAACATGCTGCCATGGGTACTTTAACATACAGTAACGGGCAAGTCCTACAGCATTTAGGGTGGGTGGGTTTTTGGCATCAGTCCAACCCCTCTCACCAGAGCCCCAAACACAATCAGCTGCTGGGGGAAGGGGGTGACAGAGGAGTTAACGCCAGCATTACAATGGCTCCACACAGCTCTGACCCAAGAAGATGACCTGATCCTTTTAGGAAAGCAGTGGTGTAACAATATTAACTACTAGCGCAGCCACCTTCCATTTATTCAAAGGTAACATTTCAGATCAACTAGGTATCTCATTACAGAAACCATGGGTACAAAATGTTGCCCAAAACCAATAACAAATAATGAAATGACACGAAAGTGCTCTGAAATCTTGCAGGGGAAAATCTGAAAGTGCATAAGGAGGTTTTAGTATTAAAAAATGTGAATTACTTAATTTCCTAGTGATTTCCTGAAGTTTCCTAATTTGGGGAGGGGAGGTTGAGTAATGATTTTTAATTATTTAAAGACAGTCACACTACTGCTAATGTGTTAGTGTAGAAGCAGCAGTATCACCACAGTACTGCCACTCCTTTTCAGGGAAACTCCCACAATAACGCCTGTGTGTGTCCCAGCTCGTACTCAAGCACTTCTCCAAAATAAGGACTCAGATCATGTCACCAGTAATTAATTTAAAAAGGAAGAGAGTTCATAGGCAACTGTTATATGCCTGTATGCACGTATGCATGTAAGGGAGTGTTTTGGGGCCAAGGAAGATCAAGAAACTTATTTTCTGGGAATCTCTAACATTTTTCACATTATTAGCTGATCTCCCTCTCTTCTCCCGGGTCCACTGCCACCACCTTGTGGTAGAAGTGGGGTCTCATGGTCTCACAAGACCAGAATTAAGTGGTTTACACACAGTAAAGTCAGAAAACTTCCCCAGGCCTGACAAGTGATTACAAGAACACACATCCCTCAGAGAAAGCTGAAAGGATGTGCCATGCCATCTAGCCAGCAGCAAAGAGAAAACCAAACAAGATAAAGGGAGCAGAGGTGTAAGCTGCCCAGCGAAGCTCCCTCCGTGCCAGGCATAGACTCTCCCTTCACCTTACACCCCCCTCCCCCCGCCC